CTACCGAAGCACTTCTCCAGTATTTTAAACATACCTACTTGGATACCGTTGCATTTAAAACAAAAAAGGAAATCAAAAGGTCAATTCGAAACTTAAAAAAACATCAAATCAAATAAAAGTCTAACCAGTGCAGATTAGCCAAAAACTTGTTATGAAAGTTATTGTGAGTGATTTATTTTTTATAACAAGAAATAAATGACAATTTGTGGCACAGCAAAAAGTGGGCCGGTTATTTTCGGTCTCGGCTTTAATCATTATATTATACTTTAACGCAAACCGCTACACATGAAGTCAATAAAGTGAAGTCGTGAATTGACGTACTAGTTTCACTCGGTATACTACATATTGGCGAAGAGCGTGAAAGAAACATTTATTTAAGATGTTATAAAGGCGCGTGTTTTATGAAAAATTAGCTTAATAAAAACTTTTAATAGACAGTACATTTTATGCACCAAAAGTAAAAAAAAAATTACCATATATCATCCATAAATTTTCGCCGCACAACGAATCTTGGCTTTTGTGGAAAGAGAAACTGGAAATACACTTTGCCGAAATCAATGGCACGGAGGAGAATGCAAAAACGCCTACTCTTTTAATGGCTATTGGAGCTACTCCGTACGAAGTTATACACAACCTTTGCAGTACCGAATCACCTGTCTCATAAACTTATAAAAAACTTTGCGAAATACTCAAAACGCATTACACTCCACCGTTAATTATCTTTCGCGAGCGTAAGAATTTTCATTCAGTCACTCAGGCCGAAGGTATCGCAATGGTATTCGAGGGTAAATAAACTTGCACTTTCATGTAAATTTGGAGAAAACTTATCAGCCTTTGTCTTGGATCGATTTGTAATGGGAATCGGCAATGCAATATTCGAGCGACTTTGCGAAGAAGACGATAGACTAAACATCGATCAAGCACTCCGAAAAGCTCTTTAGTGGAAATGCAGTTTCCATTACCCAAGCAACACAATGGTATGCAAGTTAACTATACAAAATGCAATACATATAACAAGAAGTCAAAAGGCACTAGGTACAACAATACCAAACGCGTAAGCAATGACAACGAGCGACAGTAGGACATTCCCACGACAGCCGGTTCTACGTACCGGAATGACTCGGGTTTCACCCGACCAAGGGCTGTTGTTTCGGCGATCTAACCCCGTTTAGGTCGGCGAAGTATCTCAGAAGTTGTCCGTCCATAGGGC